GTCAAATCAGATCTGACTGGTACAGGAGGAGATTGTCCCTCCTTCCCCGGCAGAGCATCTGGTGGATTTGAACCGTGCACCTCTGGGATTGTAGTTGCAGTTCCTTGCCACTAGGCCACCAGAGCTCCCCTTATAAGGCATTTCTGTACTTGATAAAATAGTGTCACTTTTTCACTAAGCACTCATTAAGCCAGCTGGTAATATTTCAGAATTCTTCGACAGCATTTAGTAGTTGTCAGAAGATTACCGTTCTTGGCTTATAATAAACCCTCTTTGAGCAATGTGTTTCTGTTTTTTTTTACACACAGATCATTCTATATTGTGTTTCCCAGCTCTTCTGTAGAGTTTTGAAATCTGTACATTTTTCTTTTCTTGGTGTTTTGTGTTAACCTTTTCTGTCCAGTAGAGTTGAATTTCGGGTTCTTAAGTATTACTCATGTAAGGCATTACTAACAGCTTAATTCTTGGGCAAAGTGATAAGATTCCTGTTCCTTCTCCCCTGGACTCTGGTGTCTTAGTACTTAGGAGTTGCACTGCCAAGCCAAAGGCTCACAGTTCGCATCCACTAGCTGCTTCGTGTAAGAAAGATGGGCACTCTCCTTTCATGTAATTTACTGCCTCTGGAAACCTACTGGAGGGCCAGCTATGAGTTAGTTCTGATTCAATGGTACGTAACAACTAACAGCCTTCTTCCCTGGACTTTAGGCATCATAGGCGAGTTTTAGTGGAATGGCTGAAAGACCCATCTCAAGAACTCGAATTTATTGCTGATATTCTTAACCAGGATGCAAAGAATTACCATGCCTGGCAGCATCGACAGTGGGTTATTCAGGTACTGCCCTTATTTTTTACAATGTTTTCAGAATTTGTTCTTTTTCACTAATTCAAATGACAATTAAATTCTTAGTATGCTTCCGAACTTAAAACACCCATGTAGGTCATTATACATGATATATAATCATTAAGAAATGTTAGGTTACCAAATTGAAGTCTAGTCTCCTTCATGTTAGTTAGCATTCATAATCTCTGTATGTCAAAGAATAATTGGGGGTTTTTTGGCTTGTTTTACCTTTTTTTTTTTTTTTGGATTGAATGTCTATTACATCATAAATTTGCTAGGAAGTGAGTAGAAAAAAGTAGTTGTAAATTTAATATGGTTAACAAGAACATGTTGCATATTAAGCCTTTTGCATATATAGACTTTGGAGTATTATGTATAGTGATGACTTAAGCATTTTCTTTCTACCCACATGTTAAAGTTTTATGCTAAAATCTGAATAGAATAGTTAAAACTCCCACTCTGGACATTCTGTTTACTCTAGCAAACAATTCTAGTGTTGTTTCCTATCAATTTTTTCCAGTGATTGTTGCCTTTGACATTATTTATTATATGAAGAACATTTCACCCAAAATCCCTAAACATTTTAAATTTTTCCCAATTTGATTAAAGGTATATGTTTTCTAAAAATATTCAATTGCTTTACTTTTTTTGAAAATTTTAACCATATGAAAGTATACATAGTATTGGGGAGCTCTGGTGGCCTAGTGGCAAGAAGCTGCACTGCAGTCCCAGAGGAGCACGGTTCGAATCCACCAGATGCTCTGCCGGGAAAGGAGGGACAATCTCCTCCTGTACCAGTCAGATCTGATTTGACAGTACACGCACACACACAAATAATAAAATAAAAAAAATTTTTTTAAAAAAGTATACATAGTATAATGTTGCTATGGTTAATTGCCATCAAATCAATTTTGATTCATGGTTTGCCCCAGGATAGAACTGAATTCTAAAGGGTTTGCAAGTCTGTGACCTTTCAGAAGCATGTGCATGCGGGTGGGCGGGCGCGCGCGTGTGCACACACACACACACACACACAAACACGCAATATCTTCCCTTACTCCTCTGACCCTAAACCAGAACTTTAAAAGAAATTAAGAGCATTTCCAAATATCTTTGAAAAAGCTTCTGAAATATTCTAAGGTTTTTGAAATATTTTCCTTTTGAAACACTCATAAGAGGTTGTGTGAGAATGGATCCCAAATAGTTTTGTTGTAGCTTATAAGTTTCAGTAAGTGAGGTATAGATTTTTTCCTTTATTTTCATATTTGATATTATTGTTTGGTTTTGTAATTCAGTTTCTAAGATATAAAATTAATTTTAATATAAAGAGGGCAAAGGAATTTTTAAAACTGAAAACACTGCTTTTATATGCTGAGTAATTAAGTAACTAATTTACCTCAAAGTCAGAGTTGAAAGTAGGAATCATACACATTCTGAGATTCAGTAAGCCAGTAGTTGTCATAGGTACCTATGCTGCCCAAGGGGACATTTGGCAATATCTGTAGATGTTTTTATTTGTCACATCTGGGAGAGAAATATTACTTGGTTCTAGTGCAAAGAGGCCAAGGATGCTAATAGGAAAGCTCACAAAATAAAGAATTATCCAGCCCAAAGCCGCATGACCAGTTGACTGTGTGCTAAATCCATATTTGTGTACGTTTCAAAAAAGAAGATCCAGCAGACTGCAGAACTTAGGCAACAATATCATTATTATCACATGCAAGTAAAAAGGATCATTTGAAAATGGCTGGAGCAAGTACATTGACAGGAAATTGCCAGAAATTCAAGCTGGACTCCAAAGAAACCATAGAAGAGTACTATTTATCAGCACATGGTAATTTGTACAAAAATGTGTAGTTTTTACTGCCTTCTTTTTTTTTTTTTTAAACTATCTGTAACCTCTGGAATTACCATACTGAAAGTCTTACACTTTTTTTACTATTATCAAATATTGGCAGCATCATAATAGATGATGAAGAGATTGAGATTATTAACAGCTTCAGTTTGCTTGGCTCCACAGTCAACACTCTTGATACCAACAGGCAGGAAAGTAAAAGATGAATTGCATTGGGAAAGTCTTCTGCAAGAGACCTCTACAAAGCACTGAAAAGCAGCGGTGTCAGTCTGGAGACTAAGGTGCGCCTGATTCAGGCCACTGTCTTTGCAGTTACTTGCTATAGTCAGAAAGCTGGACAGTGACTAGCGATGACAGAGGGAGAATTAATGCCCTTGAACTATGGTGCTAAAGAAGAGTATTGAATATAACATGGATGGCTAGGAGCAAACAAATTCGTCCTGGAGTGGGTAAAGCTGGGCTGCTCCTTGGAGGCAAGGATTCTGAAGCTTCATCTGGCAAACTCTGGACATGTTGCAAGAAAGGACCAGTTCTTAGAGAGGGATGCCATGCTTGGTAGGATAGATCGACAGTGCAGGAGAGGAAGACCCTCAGTGAGATGGATTGATTCAGTGACTGATGTAATGGTCATAGGTGTATCAGAGACAGTTAAGATTGGCACAGGATAGAGCAGGGTTTAGGGCTGTTGTATTGTCACTATGAGTTCCAAGCAACTCGATGGCACATAACAACAATAAAAACAACAATTATCAAATAAATATAACTCTTAGTTTTTTGTTTCTTGAGTTGGATTTTGCAGCATTTTTTAAAATAACCATTTTACCACTTTCTTAGATTTTTTTATTGCTGTTAACCACCACTGTATTTTTCTTTCATTAACATAGTTTATAACAGAATTTTAGAAACAAAACCCAATTGTGTATACATATTTCTATACATGTATTCTGAATTTTTTAAAATCATATGTGCTTTTTTTTTTATTTTATTTTACTATTTTGTGTGTGTGTACCATCAAATTGGATCTGACTGGTACAGGAGGAGATTGTCCCTCCTCTTCCGGCAGAGCATCTGGTGGATTTGAACTGTTTGCATCTGGGATTGCAGTGCAGCTTCTTGCCACTAGGCCATCAGAGCTCCCTCATATGTGCATTTTAAATGCTGCCTTTTTACTTAATATTTCTTCTTCCCTATCTTTGCATGATAGAGGCTACATATGCAGTCACGTGTGATTAACATGCTTTGCTATGAAAATCTTTTTCTTAACTCAGTTTGGGTTCTAAATTTTTAAAACAAACAATTTTATATAAACATTTAGATATGGAGCTCTGGTGGCCTAGTGACAAGAAGCTGCACTGCAATCCCAGAGGTGCATGGTTCAAATCTACCAGATGCTTTGCTGGAGAAGGAGGGACAATCTTCTCCTGTACCAGTCAGATTCAATTTGGCAATACACACATAAAAAATAATTTAAAAAGTAAATAAATTAAAATTTAAAGAAAAAAACCTCCACCATTTAGATAGATATTCTTTCTTTTGAGCTAATTTTTTAAAATAATTTTCAAGTCAGAAAGTAGGTCCATAGCCTTTCAGTATCTGTTCTTCAAGAGAATTCTACTCCCCAGCAACAATAGCAGAGTTCACCAGGGTAACAAACAACAAATGCTGGTGAGGCAGTGGAGAGATTCACTGCTGGTGGGAATGTAAAATGGTGTTACCACTATGGAAGGTGGTCTCACACTTTTAAAAAGTTGGAAATAGAAATATCATTTAACCCAGCAGTTCCACTACTAGGAATAATACTCTCAAGAGTCTTCATTTACAGCAGGCAAGGTTGTAGAAAGTCCCAAATAGAATGAATGGTAATGATACAGGAATATAAAGTAAACTTACTCAGAAGTACTAGTCAGAAATTTTAGAGACTGAAAGAAGAACTCCAGGGGCCATTACTATTAAGGCTATTATTATTTAAAGAAACTTTTAATTTGAAACTTAAGACAATCCCTTTTAGGTTCACACCCAAACAGAATCTTAGAGGTAATTAGAGATGAGAAGGGAGGGGGAGAAGAGTGAAAATCAATGGATAAGTTGGGTTAAGGGAAAGGCAGTATAAACAGTGTATGTAATTGCTTATGTAATTAATTTTCATTATGCTTACTAAAAATTGTGTATAGATCAAATGAAATTGTAATTTTAAAAGACTTTTTTTATAGCCAGCTAATAGATGTATCTATAAAATACATAATAATACCTGTAAAAAAATTTGTTTGTTAAAAAATGTGTTGCTGAAAGCAGGCAGCTATGAGGGAACAAGCGCTCTGGTGGCTTAGCAGTAAGGAATTTTACTGCCAACACAAAGGCAAAATGTTTAAATCCACCAGGTGCTCTGCAGGAGAGAGATGGGCAGTCTCCTCTCATGCAATCAGCTGCCTCAAAAAACTCCCTAGAAGGTGAGCTATGGGTCAGTTCCAGCTCGATGGTGCACAGCAGCAAAAGGACATTTGCCTAGAACTGAAGATGAGAAGTTAGGGATGAGGAAACTGGGCTAATGGAAATGGGGAACCCAGGGAGGAAATGAGGAGAGGGTAGACACATTGCAGTGTTGAGATCACAAGCAATGTCTCAGGATAATCTGTTTATGAATTCCAAAATGGAAATGCAATTTCCATCTAAAGTGCAATAAAGTGTTACATAAGTACATGGGATAGAACTGAGAAAAAGAACTGAAACAAGAATTACAGGCTTGGAAACCCGATGGGGCACGTACGCTCTGTCTTAACAGAATCATTGTGAGTCACAATCCACTTACTTGATGGCCATGGGGTTTGCTATTTGAATTTTTCTGTCTCTCTCTTTTTCTGAGTACCTCCCCCACCCCATGACAGTTTTCTCTGGTGAGCTTTCTTTACTCCTTTCCTTACCCCTGTTCATCATCGTGGGCACTCGGAAAATGTCTGTGTCTGATGGCTTCTTTCCTGCTCTCTGCGTGTGTCTTCCTCAGCGCTGTTTCATACTCCCTTCATTTCCTTTACTTTCATCTGTCACTTCTCTCCAAATAGGTGATAAATCCTTCATCTTTAGTTCTGCCTTTTACATCTTATTTAATAATGTGTTTGTATTTTCTTTTAGGAATTTAAACTTTGGGATGATGAACTACAGTATGTAGACCAACTTCTCAAAGAAGATGTGAGAAATAACTCTGTCTGGAACCAAAGATACTTTGTCATTTCTAATACCACTGGCTACAATGATCCTCTTGTATTGGAGAGAGAAGTCCAGTTAGTAACCTCCTTTATTTACTTGTTCATTAAAAATGAATGTACATATCTATCATGTTGCAGGCATTGAAAATACCTTTACAAATAGTGTAACATACTTTACTTTGTGGTAGGGAGCTCTATGGTGTATTCCATACAGAGTATTACTAATCTAAAGGTAGCGCCTCTCTGGCAATTTGAATCCATCAGCAGCTCCATGGGATAAAGATGGTGGCCTCGTGGCAAGAAGCTGTGCTGCAATCCTGATGACACACAGTTTGAATGACCAGGTGCTCCGCAGAAGGATGGGCAGTCTCCTCCCATGCAATTAACTGACTCTAAAACCCACTCATGGGATTTACAGCTTCTAAAAACCCACAGGAGGGTCATTTATGAGTTGTTTCTGTCTCAGAGTAATTTGGTGGGTGGTTGTTGGTGTTTAATTGAATGGTATTGTTGTAAATCAATTGACAGTCCAGGGATAGGATTCTTTCTAGAGTCAGTTCTATTACATTGACCTGTGTGTCTGTCCTTACGACATGACAACACTGTTCTGATTCCCAGTGCTTTAAATTGAAAGCAGAAAGTGTGCAGTCTCTTTTATTGTCTATTCCTAAGATTGTTTTTAATTAGTTTAGATGCCTTTTAGTTGCCATATAAATTTTAGAATCAGCTTGTCATTTTACAAGAGAATCAGCTAGGATTCTGATAAGGATTGTATCAGATCTGTAGGTTAGTTTAGGGAAAATACTGTGGTTGCAGCATGTTAAATCTTCTGGTACATGAGCATGTGATATTTTCCCATTTATTTATGTCTTCTTTAATTTCTTTCAGCAGTGTGTAGTTTTCAGAGTATAAGTTTTTAACTTACTTAGATAAATGATTTTTAGGAGCTTCTTTTTTAAAGAAAATGTTTCTATGAATGAAATTGTTTCCTTAATTTCATTGTTTGATTGTTCAGTGCAAGTGTATAGTAATCCAACTCATGAAGAAATTGTTTCCTTAATTTCATTGTTTGATTGTTCAGTACAAGTATATAGTAATCCAACTCATTTTTTTTATACTGATCTCATATCCTGCAGCTTTGATAAAGGTTATTAGATCTAATAGATATTTAGGGAACTCTGGTGGCCCTTGTGGAGAAGAAGTGGCACTGCCACGCCAAGGCAAGCAGTTCAGATTCACCAGCTGCTCCACAGGAGAAGGTGCACTGCCCATGTGACTTATAGCCTCCAAGAATCTGCTATAGGCTTGGTTCTCATTCAATAGTGTTGAATTGTATGAAAATAGATATTTTACTTCTTCCTTTCTAATGTGGAAGTCATTCATTTATGTTTATTTTCTTGCCTAATTGCCTTTACTAGAACGTGTTATAAAATATTAAAAGTGACAAAAGCAAAGTATTCATCGTTAGCATCTTGGGGGAAAGCATCCCAGAGGTACATGGTTCAAATCCACCAGATGCTTTGCTGGAGAAGGAGGGACAATCTCCTTCTGTACCAGTCAGATCTGATTTGACGGTACACACACACAAAATAATGAAATAAAATGAAAAAATTTTTTTTTAAATTAAAAAATTCTTAAAAAATGTTTTATTGTGAATTGGGTGGAGCTTTACAGAATAGATCCATTTTTCATTCAGCTATTCATACACTTTGCAGATCATGTCACTATAAATCATAATACTGATTATGATCCCCACAGTGGAACACCATTCATCCTACCTCTGCCCTGTGTTTCCTGTTTCTGTTTTTACTAGTCTTTTCTGCCACAAATGATTTTTTTTTCTTCTTAAACTTGTTTATTAGAATAGTCTTCAGGTAGTAATTATATGGCATAATGGTGGGCACTCTGGTCTTTAGATCCAGAAAAGCACATACTCCTTGGCAAGGTTGGGGTGAGGGGTCACGAAGACCACCAACAAAGCGCAGGTGTAGTAAAATGTCAAGATTACGCAGGCACGTGAAGGTGTGCCACCTGCTGTTTGGAACCATTACTACAATAAATCCCACTTGATTGTGATGTGTAGTTCTTTTATATATTAATTCTGTTTCTTTGTATTTTGATCAAGCTCTGGTGGCATAGTCTGTGGGGAGTTGGGCTGCTGACCCAAAGTCTGCGCCTCTGATGGTTCAAATCTACCAGCCACTCGATGGGAGAGAAATGGAGATTCTCCTCCCATGTGATTTACAGCCTCTAAAAACCTGTAGGGTCAGCCATGAACCACTTCCAACTGGACAATAGTTGTATCATTATTCCTGGAAGATAGGGGCCTGTCCTTGTTTCTTTTCTCGTAGGACATTGTATTTCCTTGTGATGTCTTTGCCTTGTTTTGCTATTAGAATTGTACTAGCTTTATAAAATGAGCTAGGAAATTAATCATGTCCCCTTTTATTTTACTGAAGTCTTTGTACAGGGTTAGTATTCTTAAAATGTTTTCATAAAGTTCAGTAGTAAAGCCCTTTCTTCGTGGATAACCTTTATATTACCTGCTTAATCTCTGCTTACTATCTATGTAGATTTTTTTTTTTATAAGTCAGTTTTGGTTTTTCTAAGAATTTCTAAGAATTGTTCATATGTTACCTAATTTTTTTAAGATTTTATTATTTTTGTGTGCATGTACCGTCAAATCAGCTCTGACTGGTACAGGAGGAGATTGCCCCTCCTTCCCTGGCAGAGCATCTGGTGGATTCGAACTGTGCACCTCTGGGATTGTAGTTGCAGCTTCTTGCCACTAGGTCACCAGAGCTCCCCTTATATGTTATCTAATTTTGCTTACAGCTGCTCATAGTATTTATTTATGATCCTTAGAAAAATCCCTTCTTTCCTTTCTAATCCTAGTAATTGGATTGTTTTATTATTATAGTTCCCATCACTGTATAGTTGCACTTCAATGGCTTTTATCAGACATAAGTAAATTTTGGATTTCTTTTTCTCCAGAGTTGCTTTACCATTAAAAGGGAAGCCTCCTTGTTTTAGTGACTTTTCTTTCAAAAGGAACCCCTCAGTCAAAAAAATTTACAAATTAATGTATTTTTTAATTGAAATTTGTTTGTTAGTTGGTTCCACTGATAGTGAAGATTGGGTTACAAATGAAAGGCCAAGTGCAAGCTGTAACACAGCTTAGTTAAATGATTTCCCTCACAGTGCCCCTTTTGGACATACCTGTGTTTTTTTCTTACAGGTATACTCTGGAAATGATCAAGCTAGTACCACATAATGAAAGTGCATGGAACTATTTAAAAGGGTAAGAGATTGTTTTTACTTGTTTTATATATTTAAAAATCCAAGCAACCTACTGAGTCATAGTATATGTTGCATATTCTTCCAAAAAGATACAAGAGAGTTTTCTTTTTTTTTTTCTCCCCTCCCCCCCACAAGAGAGTTTTCTGAAAGAGACAGAAGATGGAGAAGAGTTATAGTAACTCCTAAGAACAACACTCTCTGCCCATCTCTATGCGCCTGAGCAAATAGTTGTTTTTAACACAGTCCACAAGTCAGCAGTGATTTTAATTGTATTTTTTGAATCTTATAGGTTTTATGATATTGTTCAATAATTTCCGCATTCTACTGGGTCACCTTTCTTTGGAATGGGAACAAATATTGATCTTTTCCAGTCAGTTGGCCAGCTGGCTGTCCTCCAGATTTCTTGGCACAACTTAGTGAGCACACCCAGGGCAGTGTCTGTTTGTTGAAATATGTCAGTTGGCATGCTGTCAACTCCTGGAGGCTTGTCTTTTGCCAATTCCATCAGAGCAATTTGAACTTCTTCCTTCATCACCATAGGCTCTTGCTCAAATGTTATTTCATGAAATTCCTCTGTGTCAGCCAATTCCTTCTGATAGAGTGACTCTGTGTATTCCTTCCATCTTCTCTTGATACTTCCTGGATCATTTAACATTCAACCCATAGTGTCCTTAAGTATTGCCACTCATGGCTTGAATTTGTTTTTCAGCTCCTTCAGCTTAAGAAACGCTGAACGAATTTGGCCCTTTTTATTTTCTGACTCCAGCTCTGCACATTTCATTATAGTATCTTGATTTGTCGTCCTGCACTGCCTTTTGAAATTTTCTGTTCAGCTCTTTGATTTCTTGGTTTCTTCCTTTAGGTTTGGCTTCTTTGTGCTCTAATGCAATACTCAGAGTCTCATGTGACATCCATCTTGGTCTTTTCTTCTTTTTCAGCCTTTGTAATGATCTTTTGCATGCTTCCTGGATGATTTTCTTGATATTCTCTCAGAGCTCATTTGGTCTACGCTTGTTGGTGCTCAAGGCAGAGGTCATGGTACTAGGGATATTATAGCTAATGTTAGATGGATCTTGGCAGAGAGCAAAGAATACCAGAAGAATGTCTATCTGTGCTTCATTGACTATGCAAAGGCTTTTGATTTTGTGGATCACAACAAGCTGTGGCTGACTCTGAGAAGAATGGGGATCCCAGAACATTTGATCGTGCTAATGTGAAACCTTTACTTGGACCAAGAGGCAGTCTTCAGAACAGAGCAAGGAGACACTACATGGTTCAACATCAACAAGGGGGTCTGTCAAGGATGTATTCTGTCTCCATACCTTTTCAATCTGTGTGCAGAACAGATCATCCGAGATGCTGGGCTGTATGAGGAATGTGGCATCAGGATTGGTGGAAGAGTCATCAACAACCTGCGTTATGCAGATGGCACAACCCTGCTTGCTGAAACTGAGGAGGACCTGAAGCACTTGCTGCAGAAGGTCAAGGATTGTAGCCTTCAATATGGATTGAGGCTCAACGTCAAGAAAACAAAGATTCTCACCACTGGGCCAATTGGAAGCATCAGTATGGATGGTGAAGAGATTGAGATAGTTAACAGTTTTAGTTTACTTGGCTCCACAGTTAACACTCTTGGTAACAGCAGCCAGGAAATCAAGAGACGAATTGCATTGGGAAAGTCAGCTGTGAGGGACCTCTCAAAGAGTACTGAAGAGCAACGACGTCAGGCTGGAGACTAAGGTGCGCCTGATCCAGGTTGTAGTCTTCGCAGTTAAGTGCTATGTGTCAGAGAGTTGGACAGTGAATGGGGATGATAGAAAGAGAATTGTAGCCTTTGAGCTGTGGTGCTGGAGAAGAGCATTGAATACACCATGGACTGCTAGGAAAACAAACAGGTTTGTCCTGGAGAAGGTGAAGCTGGAATGCTCCTTGGAGTCAAGGATTCTGAAGCTTCATCTGACATACTTTGGGCATGTTGCAGGGAAGGACTGGTCCTTGGAGAGAGACATCATGTTTGGTAGAGTGGATGGGTAGCACAGGAGAGGAAGACCTTCAATGAAATGAATCGATTCTGTGACTGGAGTGTTGGAATGAGTGTGTTTGAGATGGCTAGGTTGGCACAGGATAGAATGGCTTTTAGAGCTGTTGTACAGAGGGTCGCTGTGAGTCGCAAGCGACTCAGTGGCACATAACAACAGTAGGTTTTATGTATGCAGCTCAGGAACACAGCAAGGCAAAGTAGACTTTTAACATGAAGATTACACAGGAGGGAAGCCAACCTTTCTGTTTTCCTTTCTTGAGATCTTCTGTTACAGGTTTTATATCTTAAGTAGGAAAGAATTGACTAGCCATGGCATACCCAGGCTCTTCATCAAGTAGCCATATCCCAAACACAATAGTGCAGACATAAAGAGCACACTAGAGATGTGTCAGGACTTGGACTTGTGTAAATATGGGGATAAGAAACCGTCACGAAATGGGAAAGCTTATATGTTTTAGTGTGATGCTGTTTAAGGTCCAGTTTTTGAGAATTTTTTAAAGTGAAGTATAATGCATAAGAAAGGCTGTTGAACTTCAACAGTGAAGTTTTGTTTTCAGCCAGCAAGGAGACCTGCATTGATTTCTAGTCAAAGAACCCCACATATAACCATCATCCCAGACTTGGATGTAGCCATGATACTAAGCTATAATCAGCAGAGCTTTCAGACCCAAATGTATGGGGACAAAAGATCTGGTGAACTACTTGTGAAAATCGCTCAGTGGAAACTCTGAGGATCACAGAAGCCTGATCTAATCATGGAGTTTATGCAGGACTTGCCAGCCATCTGTTCCCTTGTGCATGGGTTCTCCATGAGAAAAGAGCATCTAACAACAGCAATGTAGCAAATATTTGTATTGCAGACCGAGGGTCCCAAAGAATGGAGTAATTTTATAATTATTAATAAAGAGACAAACAGCCAGGAATGTGATAGAGCAGAGAGCATAAAACAGGGGGTCAGCAGTTCTCGACTGAGAAAGCTTCTCTGTATCTTTATTGAAAATTACCAGGAAGTAAATCACAAAGAGAATTAAATGCAAATGAAGCCAAGCTCTTTCTATAGAAAACCTTCTGCTTGACTCAGGAAGGAGGGATTCACAAATGCAAGAATTTGGTTTACCCTTAACTATTAACCTTGATGCCTCAGGGTGAACTCTAGCTCAGGAAGTAACACTGCCTTTGTAGGGGGCCCCTTGCTGTCTCCTGTCTTGCAGGGAACAAACAGCTCATTTTCTAGGATCTGCCACAAGAGAAATCCTAACTTATTGAAGGACCCCCGAACCGCTGGTCCTGGTCTGTCCCGAGTGGAAGGCGAAGACCCAAGACTCCAAGACACCGGCTTGATGCAACAGCAAGAGATAAGAGGTTTATTGTGGAGCTCCTGCCGACCCTTATCTCTCGCAGGAGACAGAGGAGTCGACCGCGAGCAGACAAAGTTGGGTTTTTTTATACACTTTAGGGGGATACAACTGGGTATCAGCTTTTCATTGGTTGATGAAAGCACAGTTTGAATTCATTGGTTCAGTGTTCGCTCAGGGTTTACACAGCATATTTGCACGTAGCACTTGCAGCAGTCGCGTAGCACATGTAGCAGTTAGATAGATCTTTAACTATAGGGTGGTGTCACAAATTCTTAAGTATACAATGAGTTCAAACTCCAGGGTAGTGGACTGTTGCCCTGGATACAACTGGGTGTGGGGCTCTACCTGAGACAATGGAAAAATTCCTGAGTTTAACTTAGCTGAGAACTATAGAATCCTGAGTTTAATTCAGCTGAGAACTATAGGGACTATTTTAATTTCAATCTTTTCATTATATATCTGTAATTCCTTCAATTCCTGAACAAGGGTTTTCATATAATATTTGGTATAAAGTTTGGTTTCCCATATATTTGTTGATTTCCAAACAAACCAGTCACATGGGATTTATGCCAAGAATACAAGATTTGGCAAAAAATGGCTGACTAGCCAATATATTTTTCTATGCTAAAAAGGTTGACAGTGGTCTTAGTGCAAACTTTCAGTGACGCCCAATAGATGGAAGATTGACAATCCTTTTCAAAGCTTTGACTGTAAAGTAGGGCTAGAAACCAATAGCTCTGTGAGGTACATGGTTAAAGAAGTCTTTTATTTGCTTGCTTCTTCTTTTCTGAAACAGTTATATGTAGGAAGATAAGAAAGGATGGCCTCATCCATAAAAAGTGTAGGTACTAGTCCAAAACATTAGTTTTTGTTACTATTATTATTAGCTATTGTTGGCATATTACATTGGTTTATATTATATCTCTTAGTATATCTCCTTATTTGTTACATATTTGTCAAGTAGAATATTCCATATTCTAGTAATATTAGCCATGTTTTTAATGAGCACTCTTTCTCCTCTTTTGAATCCTCCGAAAGAGTTAGGGAAGGTGTGTAACAGTGAACCAGAGTCAAGGAAGAGTCCCCACACTGAGTAGATATATGTTTTAGATCTCTTCACAATAAGTCTTCCTTTCTGGATTTTGTTTCAGGTGTCATCTTCTCTTGTTCTTTCTACTGTTTTTCTAAAATTCTCTTCCTCCTCAGATTTGAATGTGTATTCTTTCAGAATTTTAGATTTTAGAAAAAATTCTCTTTCTCCTCAGATTTGAATGTGTATTCTTTCAGAATTTTGCAGGACCGTGGCCTTTCCAAATATCCCAATCTGTTGAATCAGTTACTTGATTTACAACCAAGTCATAGTTCTCCCTACCTAATTGCCTTTCTTGTGGATATCTATGAAGACATGCTGGAGAACCAGTGTGACAACAAGGAAGACATTCTTAACAAAGCATTAGAGGTAAGTTAGGGCTTTTCTTTTTGTGTGTCAGAATGGAGCCTGCCTAATGCCACTAGTAATCATGCCCTTTTCTCACATAACTACTAAGAATTTATTGCAGAACTGTTTCTTCCATTCAGGATAGATGTGAAGTAAAGATCTCATTCAAATATGAGCTGAGTTAAAACTATCGTCTTAGAGACTATTTTAAATATCCACTCACTATGTACTTATTTTTAGTGAATTTCAGCAGTGACATTTAGAATATAGTTATTGTTAGAGTTATCATTATACTTGTTGTTGCTTTTATCTCAGAGACTTGTCCTAGAGATTGAGTTACATGTTTAGTTTAATGAATTTGTGTCTTTCATTTTCAGTTATGTGAAATCCTGGCTAAAGAAAAGGACACTATAAGAAAGGAGTATTGGAGATACGTTGGAAGATCTCTTCAGAGCAAACACAGCACAGAAAGTGACCGGCCAGCAAATGCACAGCAATAACACTATCCGGAAGAACTTGATGGAATGCCTTTATTTTTTAAAAATGACTCCAGTGAGGAGTTAAAATTTGCCTGTATTGGGAATAAAAAAAATAAGTTTTCCTTATTCCCTTTGCACAGTAAAATGTGCACTGCACAGGTATTGCTTTTTAACAAGAATTAAGTGTGAAGATCCTTGGGCACTGCTGCTATCCAGACTAGCTCTATGCCATTTGATTCTTTTTAAAGCAGAGTAATTTGAGCAGGGGGAGGGGAAGGCTTCATAAATGAACTTTGTAGTTTTATGAACATTTAATCTAATCTCTTAGCACCAACTCTTCCTTAAACAATGGCATATGAGCCAGGATTTTAGCAGTAATGATTTCAGGTAACTATTATGTGATGAATGTGGGGGAACTTAAACATAGGGTAGTAAGCGGAGAATGCAGCTGTTAGGGTAGGGCTGCAACACCACACTGACAGTATCTTGCTATCACTGTAACCAACTAATGCCAAAAGAATGGTTTTGTAATAAAAGTATAGATGTATCTAAAAACAATGTGACCATAGTTTGATTTTTTTTAAAAAAAAATAACAGTTACACACAAGGACATTTGATCAGCTTAGAAAAGCATTAAAGAAAAATAGTACTGCTATAAAACTGTAAAAACCAGAAATAGGATTGTGTTTAAAGGAAATATTATTAAAACTTGAATTTGTCAGAGTTCTTGACTAGTTAGTTAGGTGCCATCAAGTACGACCATCAAGTCTTATGCACAGCAGATGTGAACCCTGCCCTGTCCTGTGCCATCCTCACACTTCCTGACACATTAGAGCCCATTGCAGCAGTCGCTGTCAATCCCCCTGGTTGAGGGTCTTCCTGTCCTTCACTGACCCTCCACCCTTCTTAGCATCATGTTGCCACTCCAAAGAATAATCTCTCCCAGCAACATGCCCAAAATATGTGAGGCAAATCCTCCTGATCTTTTCCTCCAAGGAGCCTTCTGGCTGTACTTTCTCCAAGACTTACTAGTTCTTTGGAAGTTCACAGGATGTTTACTACTGTTTCTAACACCACAGCCCAAGAGCATCAATTCTTTTTCTGTCATCCTTATTCATTATCCAGCTCCCAGATGCATAGCAAGTGATTGGAAAGACAGTGGCCTGAATCAGACTACCTTAGTCCTCAAATTGACAACATTATTCCTTAATAACTTGGAGAGGTCCCTGACTTCAGACTTTCCCAGAGTAATAGGTCTCCTGATTTCTTGAGTGCTAGTACCAAAGTTGTTGATTGTAGATCCAAGTACAATGAAGTTGTTGACAGTTTCAATCTTTTCTCCATCCATCTGATGTTGTATCAGTCCAGTGGTAAAGAATATTTGTTAATGGTGAGATGCAGTCTATATTGAAGGTTGTATTCTTTGATTTTCTGCAATAAGTGCTTCAAATCTTCCTCACTTTAAGTAAACAAGGTTGTGTCATCTGCATAATGCAGGTTATATCTCTCCAATCCTGATGCCGCACCCCTCTTTATAGAGTCTAGCTTCTTGAATAATTTGCTCAGCATACATGTTGAATAGGTATTAAGAGAGACTACAACCCTCATGCACTTCCTTCTTAATTTTAAACTATGCAGTATTCCCCTGCTCTGTTCACACAACAGCCTCCTGGTCTAGGTACAGGTTTCACATGAGCACAATTAAGTGCTCTGGCATTCCCATTCTTCTCAATTATTAGCCATATCTTGTTATTATCCACACAGTCAAATGCCTTTGCATAGTCAACAAAGCACAAGTAGACGTTCCTGTATTTAGTTTCAGCCAGGATCCTTACTTCAGTGATAATCCTGGTGCCATGGACTCTTCTAAATCCTGCTTAAACTTCTGGCAGTTCCCTATCTGTACTGTTCTAACCATTTTTTAACGATCTTGAGCAGTTCTTGACTGCAAGCAGTAAAACCCACTCAAGAGAGTTTATAAACGCCAAGAATTTATTTCTTAATGCCATGGTTAAACAATCCTTAAGCTGATTTACTGCATATTTACATAACTAAATCTCTTTTCAATAATAATATGTCCCATATTCAAAGCACCAAGGTACAATTAAATTATGTAAAATAGAATAATCAGCTCTTCTCAGTTTTGGGAAATATTTTGATCTCTCCTAAGAAGGGGTTCTGGGAACATCATTTATAGCATTCTGTGCTGCTCATCAAGACTTCACATCTCCAGTGGCTTGAATCCACCAGCAGATCTGAGGGAAGAAGACAAGCTCTTAGTAAAATTTATAGCCTCTGAGACCTGGCAAACAGTCACTGTGAGTCTGAGTCAGCTTTGTGGCAGTGAGTTTGGTTTGACTTAATACTTTCAAGAGCTTCGGAAAGTAGAAGGTCAGCGAAAGTAGACCTTCATCGAGACGTGCCGTCACACACTGCAGCTGTACAGGGGAGGATGGTCAGGCTAGGGCAAAGTTTCCATCTTCACAGGGTCACTAGGGGTCAGAGTCAGCTTGACAACAACAGAATATTTTGGGGGGAAGGGTGGTTTTTTTACATTTCAGATGCTAAGTTTTCTGCCTTTAGGTTCCCAGCATGACATCTCTGACTTTGAAATTATGTAAAGTATCATTTCCATGAAGATAGTTATTAATGTACACTGAGAAATGTAACTATAAGCCTGTCCACTTGCTGTTTTATGCTTATGCAAATCCTATACTTGGACCAACAGGCAGTGGTCAGAACAGAGCAAGGAGACACTACATGGTTCAAAATCAAGAAGGGGGTTCGTCAGGGATGTATTCTGCCTCCACACCTTTTCAATCTGTATGCAGAACAGATCATCCGAGATGCTGGGCTGTACGAGGAGGAATGTGGCATCAGGATTGGTGGAAGAATCGTCAACAACCTGCATTATGCAGATGACACAACCCTGCATGCTGAAACGGAGGAGGACCTGAAGCGCTTGCTGCAGAAAGTCAAGGACTGCAGCCTTCATATGGATTCAAGCTCAATATCAAGAAAACAAAGATTCTCACCACTGGGCCAATTGGCAGCATCAGTATAGATGGTGAAGAGTTTGAGATAGTCAACAGTTTTAGTTTACTTGGCTCCACAGTTAACACTCTTGGTAACAGCAGCCAGGAAATCAAGAGATGAATTGTATTAGGAAAGTCAGCTGTGAGGGACCTCTCAAGAGTACTGAAGAGCATCGATGTCAGGCTGGAGACTAAAGTGCTCCTGATCCAGGCTATAGTCTTCGCAATTACGTGCTATGCATCAGAGAGTTGGACAATGAATAGGGATGATAGAGAATTGATGCCTTTGAGCTGTGGTGCTGGAGAAGAGTGTTGAATATACCATGGACTGCTAGGAGAACAAACAGTTTTGTCCTAGAGAGGGTGAAGCCAGACTGCTCCTTGGAGTCAAGGGTTCTGAAGCTTTATCTGACATACTTTGGGCATATTGAAAGGAGGGACTGGTCCTTGGAAAGGGACATCATGTTTGGCAGAGTGGAGGAACGGCGAAGGAGAGGAAGACCCTTGATGAGATGGATCAATTCTGTGATTGGGGTGGTGGAATGAATGTATTTGAGTTGGCTAGGTTGGCACAGGATAGAGCGGCATTTAGAGCTCTTGTACATAGGGTCGCTATGACTGGCAAGCGACTCGATGGCACCTAACAACAAACAACAAAAACATGTTAAGTATGAAACATGTGAAGTCATTCATTATGAGAAGTTCTTGGTGAGCATGGCCTCTGTGAGACAGCTTCATGTTCTAAGCTTGTACTGGTTCTGACTTGTTGCATGCTCCTTTTCTCAGGGCATTGTCCGTGCAGGAATCTGGGAGCTCAAAACCCTTTTCCCTATCACTTGTTACTGCTTTCACTGTTGGTGCAAAAATGGAGGTTGAAACTGGGGCCTTAGTGAAATCAAGGCTATGGTTGATAACTCTAGTCGTGTTTTTCACTGTCTCACATTTATTTAAGAGTGTGTTAATGAACTAGTAATTATCCTATTCTCAACTTGTCTTTAAAATATTTTTTGTGATTGAATGGAAGTATGCAAAAAGCATATCTTTATGGTGGTTAGAAAGCACTTGTGTGATTGTATAAGTAAATGGGGGCTGAACAGGCCATCTTTTTAAAATTTTTTTATTATTATTTTTTGTGTATACCATCAAATCAGATCTGACTGGTACAGGAGGAGACTGTCCCTCCTTCTCCAGCAGAGCATCTGGTTGTTTAAAACCACACACCTGTAGGATTACAGTGCAGCTCCTTGCCACTAGGCCACCAGAGCTCCCTTGAACAGGTCATCTTTTAAGAGAACTATTTTTACCTGATAAAACTGACAAACTTGTAACTCATAGAATATCTGGATTTTCTGTGGAAAACCATGGCAAACCACTGTTTTTCATGATAAAATTGACCTTTCAAGTGAAAAATGTTTATCACTGTGAGCTTGACAGCTTCCCAATAGCTGACCTTTCTAATGAGATTAGTGGTGATCCTGGTGAATATGACTTTTTATACTATCTAATTAAGCATATCAGTGGAAAATCTTAACTCAGCAAATTAATGTTTTTCCAAGTGACCAATCTGTGTTATATCAGACATTAAAATGAAATAGCACAATCAGTGCAGTGATAAACTACAGGTTAAATATTGTAGTTAATAACTTCCAAGAAGCTACCACTGGTTCAAATTTCTTTATAAAAAAAAAAAATAGAAATTTTTCTAAGAAAGTTACTCCCAACCATGATGCTTCTTAGAGGCAAGATTGGTGAAACTTCATCTCATATAATTGGGTATGTTGCTAGAGGCCAGTCCTTGGAAAAAAACATACTGAGAAAGGTGGAGGGTCAGAGAAAGAGAGGACATCCCCTACCCAGATGAACTGACTTTGTCGCAGTTCATCCACAGTGGGCCTGAGCATATCAGACATGCTGAAGAGGGAACAGGAGAGGGCAGACTTCAGATCTGTAATTCATAGCCTCGCTATGTGTTGTCATCAACTCGACAGCACCTTACTATGTGAGGTCTGATTCTCTTGATAGATTT